GGGTTCAGCCCCAAAACACATCTCTTTTCCGCCCGGCGGACGAAAAATGAAGGGATGTGCACCGCCGATACGCGGGCAATTGCATACTCACCTCGATAAATCTCGAACGCGGGTGCGTAGAAGAATCTAGTGCTTAACATCGACTCGAGCCGCCCTTTATCGAACGCATGCGCAGTCTTGTTCACAGGGGCTTGAAAGTTTTCGGCCATCTTGCCTTTCAGCCAATGGTGAAGGTACCGTGAAGCGTAGGTAGATGGTTGTCTAAAACTAAGTCGAGCAGTGGTGAAAAGCATGACTCGACAAGCTTCAAGAAGTTGCGTTTAAGTGCTCAGATTGGGTAGATCGATTATCTTGACCCGAGGAATAGGCGGCCTACCTTCAAACTTCAACTACAAGCTTAGGACGTCAAAAAGGATATCTACGTGCTCATGGCTTAGTTGTCCATCTCTTCCTTCAGCTATCGAGTCTACGATTACAAGAATATTAATTGGGTCAGTACAAAGAGAAACCCCAAATTAGGGCTGGGTCAACCACGTGTTAAGTTCTGTCACGCTCTGTCACGATTGGACAGGAACCATTTATGGGCGGCCAAATAGTCGATCAAGTAAAATATAATCTGTTGCTCTAGGCGCCCGTGAATTGCCCCGGATAGTGCCATATAAGCTCATATAAAACCATATATTGCTCGTTTACACGTTATGAAGGTAAATCAAGTGAAATATATACACTTATCACCTTGTCACCTCCGTGGGGATTGACGCATGAAATCAACAACTTGTGATCCGTTGGTCCATCTACCCGTTCGTACCCGTATCATGTGCATGTCAGAGTCACCTTTTGGATGAGGAGAGGGCGAAGCAACGAAAAAACGGTTTTGTAAAGCGAGAACAAAAGAATGCTTCGACTTTCTAGTTGTATATGTGCTCCAAAACGTCACATTTGGTTGGATTTGGCTCAGTAGGCTCCCCAGAAATCATGGACAGTGCAAACTTCGAGATATTGCTTTATTTATATATCATGTATCACAATATTATAATTGATTGTCTACAACATCACTACCTAGCACAGAAACCCCACGAGGCCCCACGGTGTCCTGTTTGAAACCCATTATAGCGATGCCTGCTTTCCACTCTCAAATTCCTTGGAAAAGGGATAGTCGTTGTACCCGACAGGGCTCTCCCATGTATAGTATGAGCTGCGATCACCAATAGTAAGTGGGATATCCTTCTCGAGACGGAAAGGTAAGTCCGGCTGCGAAAGTAATCAGAAGCGTAAGAAGTGATGAGTGAACCTCTTCACGTACATTTGCAATAAATGCACGACCAAACGCGATCAGGTCACCCTTGTTATCTGCTGTGCTGATTGCAGCCTCTCGAGTATAACCACCCGCACTGATGAAAGGCCTGGAGCCCCAGATATCTCGCAGAAAATCGATTTCCTATTGTGTCCTGTAAGACCATGGGTATTCCGCTTAGAAAATTCGAACGTACCTCCCCGTGCTGAACAGTACGATCCTCGCTACCCTCTACGCGGGGCTCAACGACATGGAGGTAAGCAAAGTTAGGGAACCGCTTTGTGATCTCGGACACCAGATAGCTGAATGTAGACCTCAAGTTGGCTTCATCCATTCTCATTTCTGCTCAATGTCACACTGGATGATCAACGGTGATGAGGACACTGAAACGTACCCTGGAAACGGCCCCATGGGCTGAGCCTGATGGCTGTCCTCTCCTGCCCAATTTCCTTCGATATTGCTTCCAAAATCTCAAGAGTGAAGCGACTCCGGTTTTCAATAGAGCCGCCGTATTCATCTATACGCTTGTTGGTGACATTCTGCAAGAATTGATCTGGGAGGTAGCCGTTTGCGTTATGAAGCTCTATACCATCGAAACCTGCACGATGTACTGCGTTCGACGCAGCAGTGGCAAACAACTGCACGTATTCTTTGATTTCTGAGCATTGGTGTGTGAGATGGTTTTCGTTCTCGCCAGAAAGATGAGAAAGGTCTCACCAGCAACGGTCAGAGGACGCGGTGGGAATGGCTTTCCCGTCAACTGTACATCCGAAGCTGATACGTATGGGAGATCTGGGTCTTCTTCCTTTAAAACCTTCGGGTCGGCGGCGCGTCCAATAGCCCACAGTTGAATATAGATATACGAGCCTTTCTTGTGGACTGCGTCGGTTACCTGCAGTTGGCGGTAAGTAACATTTTTTGCTAATAGAAATAAGCATTGCATTACCCTCTTCCAGGCTGCCACTTGATCATCGGTCCAAATGCCAGGTACGTGCGCATACCCACTTGCGCGTTGCGCGATAAACGTTGCTTCGGTGATAAGTAGGGTACCGGGCGTGCTCCCTCGTTGCTCATAATGCTCTACGGCCAGATCACCATGGACATGCGCGGAATTGGCTCGATAACGCGTCAAGGGTGCGAGTACGGCTCTGTGACCGAGGAGAGACGTCCCAACTTTGATAGGAGTGAAGAGTTTGCTAGTCGTTGCAGACATTGAGAAAGGTATATGGGTGAGGTTGAGGTACAAGGGAGATATCGCCAGTCGTATTTAAAGCTTCCACGGTCGTTCGTGATCGCTTATTGGCCTCACTTTGCCGACTCGGATTCGATTGCTCTGTCATCCTTCCTCCTCGTCCTCTCATACCCGTTGACATGTAGCTGCAGTTTCGGGAAAAGTTGTGCATATGACGCAATAACTGTGACACCCCGGAAGTTCTATTTATCCGCGTCAGATAGCCATTCATTGTGGGGACTATGCCACAATTCATGCGGATACTTCCTTTTACGTGGCTGCTTTAAAGTATGGGTACCATTTCATCGATATACTCTGGACTGTATCGACGGAACCGATTTAACCTGCAAAAACGACATAAACCTCAGTTGTTTCCTTCGCTCTCGCTGTCTACTTCAGCGAATGGGAAGTCGATGTAACCGTGAGGATCTTCATATGCGTAATAACAATTACGATCGGCAACGATGAGAGGGTGATCTTTCCGAAGTCGCAGTGGTAGGTCCGGCTAGTCGCCGACAAGGTAGTATGAGAGTGGTTCTGTACGCAATGGTATACAAGTCATGCTTACGTTGCCAATGAAGGGACGCCCGAATGCAATAAGGTCGCCTTTCGTATCTGCGGTCTCAATCGCACTTTGGCGGGTATATCCTCCAGCACTAATTATCGCGCGCGGAGCCCATATCTCGCGTATGAAGTCATTGGACTGAACGAGCAAGTTAGTACCTGACAACGTCGTCCAGAAATATTGAAATGACCTCTGCTTGCAAAGCGGCACCACCGGCGGCCCCATGAATGCCAGGTTCAATGACATGGAGGTAAGCCAAAGAAGAACATCGATCCTTCAGCTGGCTGACCAGATACTGGAAAGTAGGCTTTGGTTCCTTCATACGCATTTCTGTGTGGATAGAGTTAATAGTGAATAATGGGCATGAAATAAACTGACCTTGGAAAGTGCTCCATGGGCTCAGCCTAATCGCGGTGCGCTTTTCCCCGACAGCTCCAATAACGGAATGTAAGACTTCTAAGGCGAACCGGCATCTATTCTCCACAGATCCACCATATTCATCCGTTCTTCTATTGGACGCGTCTGAAGTGAACTGGTCGATCAAGTAGCCGTTTGCGCCATGAAGTTCGACGCCATCAAAGCCTGCTTGAATCGCATTCAGCGCTGCATTCGTGTACCAGTCGATGTATGTTCTAATTTCTACAGATCACGAAATCATTTGGAAGGATATTCATGTAGAGAACAATCAGCGTACCGCAGAGTGTGAGTGGTCGAGGTGCAGAGTTGCCGGCGAGGGGAACATCTGAAGCGGAAACGAGGGAATATGTTGGATCTTCTTTCGCCAGTTCCTTGGGATCTGCACTCCGTCCATACGCTCGGAGTTGGGCGAAAATGAAGGAACCCTTCTCATGAACCGCATCTGTGATCTGACAGAATAAACATGCGTTTTAAGCTTTCAGAGATCGGCGAGAACATACGGGGAGAGCACTCACCCGTTTCCACGCATTGATCTGTTCTTCGCTCCAGATACCGGGGACGTTGGGACGACCGCCAGCCTGAGGTACGATGGTGATGGCCTCGGCAATAAGCAATGTTCCCTTCACAGATGCCCTCTGTGAGTAGTACTCTACCGCCATATCTCCATGTACATGTTCACTGTTGGCCCGATTGCGGGTGAGTGGTGCAAGGACTATACGATGGTCGAGCTTGAGGTCGCCCACTTGAGTTGGTTGAAACAGCGCCGAGGTCGACATGAGAGGGATTCAAGAGATAGGCTGACTGAGCGAAATCTTCTTGTTTGTAGCATGTCGTGTGTGCGATCGTACCCTTTTAGTGGTAAGGCCCGCTGCCCGTAAGTTACCTTGCTTGCCAAGGTCCTGGCCCTCCGATATATGTGCCTTGTTTTTGACAACCCGGGCGCTCCGTTGCTCGGTGGTTTTCGGCCCGCACCCGCTCAGTTTGTTCATGTCCCTCGCTCTATGGCATTGATCCTCTTTCCTCGACGACATTCAACATTTTCTTTGCCCTCATGCCTGCCCCTCCCTACTCCCCTGTGTGAAGTACAATTGTGATAATATCACAAGTCACGCAAAGAAAAGTATGCATAGCATCGTTAGACGTTCCAAAAAGTACCTAGAGACTAGAGTAGTGAAATAAAAGTACTCGTAATAATAGTTAATAATCCAAAAGTATAACATAAAACCTGGTTGAGAAAAAATTCCCAAAGCGAACTGCGAGCAAGGTTTAAGTCGCTACAAGCGGCCCTTCATGCGAATGTGGAAAAGCTTATTAGTCGCTTAATTTGCCAACCGGAGGATCTCTCAGAGACGTGCAATTCAAACCTCACAGACAGCTACGCAACCTCCGCTGTAGATTTGATGGTAAAACCAAAGAGTGAGAACAGTAGCCAGGATTCAGCCTCAGGCCTCTAGGAGCCGAAGGAAGACAGAAGAAAATGCAAGCCAAAATTATGCCCGCTGGCTGGATTGATCAACCGACCTCACACGAGCGCTTAGAATCAGAGGCTTACAAGTGGCGCGTTTTACCACTGGGCTAAACAGGCGACTAAATAAAGGTTTTGGAGGTAGCCACTGTATACAGTATCTATAACAAGTAGTTTCCAACCAGTCGTCGAACGCCTGTTCCTCCTCCTCTCTTGAGTCTGGAGTGCTCGGTCAGTGTTCATTTGCCCCCCAACTGATCTAGGACTAACCTGACAGTCCATTGCTAAGTCATACGATAGGCTGGTACACTCACCACTACCTGATGACCAAGTCTCAGAATAATATCAAGCCAACTCAAGCCGGCACTTCTTTTAGCAGCTTTTCGGGGAATGTCTGTCTCTCGTTCTGAATCTCTCGCCCCTCAATATGGGAGGAAGCGGTCCAACACAGTCCAATCCGTGCTGAAGAGCACGTTATCCGCATTACCACTCAATTATGGAGACCATAAACTACTTACCACCTGGGTCCACGATACAAAAGATTCGCCCACGGTCATATTCAATCAGGGACATTGGCCTGGAGTAGCGGAAGGCGACATGTTACAGCTATCTGTACAGCCATCTTTCGACCAATCTTCGAGCCTACTCTTCATTGTTCCGAAGGATGAGACTGTGAGGCATCAATTACAGGTACCTCCATAAATTCCGCAGTGCTTGGCGAGTGTGACCAGTACGGCCAGATATCTGTTCCAAGACCAGTAGCCGATAACCTTGATCTTCGAAACAATGGCGAAGTTCGGTTGACCAAAGTAAGGAGCTTCCTTTCTCCTAATAATTCGCGCTAACCACGTGTAATATAGGTAAAGAAAACTGAATGGGAGGCAGAATACGTGGAGTTTACATTTCAGGACCAGTACATGGGCCGCAACGAGATGTGGAGACTGGATCAACATCTTGTTGGGCAATGCGTCTATGTGGACCAGGAGATCTCTTTCATAGGCGTCGTGTCAGCAAGGGTACACTCCATATACATTGGTGGAAAGAGCGTGTCCACCGGATACGTCACATCGAAGACAAAAATGGTGTACAGATCACTGTCAGCGAAAGTCACTATCTTCATTCAGGTCTGCCGAGAGTTGTGGGAGTTTGCTGGAGACGGAGAGCGCTACAACGAGAAAATCGCTCATTCGTTCCTTCCTACCCTATTCTCGAAATGGAGAGAGTCGGGCACGACGCATATAGTCACCTTAGTGCTAATTTCCCGCGTCTTCTACGACGCATCTGAAATTGACTATGCTGAAGGACCTCTGCGACAAGACGACGAGGGACGATGGTACAAAGATTTCTTCAAAGTTATTACCGACCTCGAGGTGATTCATGAGTGGAAACCGACTCTAGTCAGCCTCAAGGACTCATTCTGGGCTTTCCAACGCGATATCCTTCTCGCTCATCACTATCATAGCTCTGCGGTGAAGGATAGAGACAACGTGCGCCTGGTTGGACAGCTCTCTTACGCTCACGATGGACCGATCTTGGAGGCTCTAAATCTTAGCTTCAATCCAATGGAGACCCACTACATAGACAGGTCTCTTTCGTTGACCGGCTCATCAACGATCATTATCACACCAGGGACAGGATATTTCCGTGTCTCTAGGCGGCTTCTACGATTGACAACAACACGCATTTTGGATCAGGGTTTCGCCATCGACCTTGTCTCCCTGACCAAGCCTCCCTTGCACCAAAGTCCAATATTTTGCTTTACAGGAGTTGACCCTGAACAGCGAAGCGAGATGGCGAGTAGATATGGTTCTCGCGTTTTCGACCCGCTATGGGGCGGCGACGAAAAGGAAAGCCCTGAATGTAGTCGTACAACTATTTGGTGGGAGCCGTTCTGGATGTCCATATCTTTCTGGGATAGACAGATGGACTTACCATTCCGAGAGGATAGGTATGGGTCTCTATTCGCTCATTTTCAGTCCTTCAACTGACATACTCAGTAGATTTGTGGCTCGAGCCAAGATGCATGAAATCGAAATGCTGGGTTTACTCGATCACGACGTGCTCTCTAGCATCGAGTTGCCTTTCCTTCCCGATTTATACGATCCTTTCGCTACCCCAAATCCAAACTCTCGAAACTATGGAGAAGGAACGAATAAGATCATGGCGGACAAATTTGATATGGAGGTATTTTCTCCCAGATGGGATGGGAAAGTGCCTACAACCAATCGAAATTCTCTCGCTTCCTCTGCCGGGTCCCGTTCTGAAGGTATCAAGCGGTCCTTGTCAACTCGAACGACAGATTCACGGATACCACCGATACAAGAGAGTCCTTACCGTGCTACTGTCGGTCTCCCTCTCACCGCGGAAACTGACACTGATAACAGTCTGTCGGTAAGCAGCTTCAGCGGGCTGAGCGTCTCGCCTTCCCAGTCGTCTATCCGGTCGGCAAGATCCAATATATCTCGTCTATCCTCGACAGCTTCAACGGCTACCGATGACAGCACTCCGAGGCCTCGTATATCCGGGCCGATGAAGGCATCGTTGAAATTTACCCCTTC